AGCAGGGCATGATGCGCCGAGGAATCATAGGAGTTCGGGCAATCATCGGAACAGGTACTGGAGCTGGCATCGGAACCGGAACTGGCATCATACACGTACAACAACACATGGGGCCCTGAAAAACAGTTTGTCGAGAGTAGGGCTTAGTCCAGTGGCTTAAGCATTGGAATGTGGTAGTGAGCATATTTTGATGATGACGTCACTTTCCGAAGCTGCACTTTTGGATTTGTATCGGATTTAGACGCTTTTCAAGGTGACCGTTAAAACAGCACTTAGAAAGACATCACCAAATATTAGAACTTGATATGTTTCACTCACGCCGCATACTTACCGCATGCCACCAAATCCACCAAGGCCACCACCGATGAATGCTTCAGCTACACTAAACAGCACGACAACTACGAACAGAAACTTCATTTAGGCTCAGAATGAGGTAGGTTCTGCAAAGAGGCGCTGAAGAAGCTCGTGCACTTGGAAGGATCCCGCCTAGCTGGGCAGTCGCTGAATAGGAGGATGCAAGTTACGGATGAAGTTGTCCTTGGCTCTTAAATACTTGACAGAACCACGCGTAAACGTGCCGTCTCACTCACGCCGGTGTGATCAGTTTTTCAAGACGGACATGCAAACAACTCGCAGTGGACGAACAAACAAAGGGCTACGAGTTGGTGCGATTTGTTCCGGCATTTATCCGGAAAAAAACATTGCCAGGACTGGTCTGTTGAAGCATCTAGAGCTACATAAAAACTGATAAATTCTCGATAGACCTGCTGATAGCGGGACTCCACGGCCTTAAGCTGACCAGTCAGCTGTTCTGTGTACTCTGATGGAGGCTCCGCGCTTTTTTGCATCGACCTAGCAGCAGCTTTGGATGAGAAACTAAGTCTGTCAGCGTTCCATGGGGTTATTTCTCTATTTCGACAGTTGGGTGAAAGCAATGATAAGTCTTTGTAGCGATATATCTGCGCACACAGTCAAATGTTGAAATTCTAGTTCCGTCTAGGCCAATAAGCCAGCCCTTTGCTGCGACGCCCTGATAGTAATGACATTGCGGGGGCCAGCCGAATATATCATGTCAGTGTTCTAATCCTCCGAGATGAAGATGGTGGCAATTTACGTCCTAGGCTAAGGCTCGGTTGGCCCAGGCGAGAGCCGATCCGGAAAAAGTGCGCGTATAAAGCGTGTCACTTGCCGCTCAACCGCCTCCGGCCGAGCTTGACGATAATTTTCTTAATTTTTTCCCTTTCCAGAATAGAGCGCTACATACACCCATCCCACAGTTGACTGCTGTCATTTTTGTAGAGCTGATAGGAGTTTTCCTCTTTCAAGGACGAACGTTGAGAAGGAAGGGTCGGAATTCTCTTTTGCCCGACGCTATTATATGACGTGATGACTTCTCACTCCCTAAGGACAATGAAACGCTGCACTCAGCGATGACCACTTCCTCTCCGGAATACGTCGACCTCCATTTGTCTGCACTTTTTCCATGCGACTCTGGTCGTCTGCGCTCCTAAGCATAAGCTTTGGCTGATGGAAGAGACGCCGTGTATCCCACTTTGATTCGGAGTTCTAGTGGCATTTGTGGGCGATCTTGTCTGAACAGTGAGGGGCAGAACCTTACGATGGGTGAAACTGCGCTGTCAGTGAATTCCTTTGCCAAACTTCCTCTCTGGCACCTTGGACCGCCTTCCAAACATGACGACCCCTTCACCAAATTTCAACAAAATCTTGTCGCTGAGGTGGGGTATATAATAAGCGAATAAAACGGGAGAAATCAGTAAGAATCAGCAACTGGGATATCCTTTCCAGGGGCCTCACAGTGATCAGCTACGATCTCCATGGGATGAGTTTCGCACGAGACTGCTGCTCTCTGTCCTACCAAACTACAAAATATGACCCTCTGTAGGTTTTGCACGACATTGCTGTGCACTGTGTGTAATGATTGCGCTCTAGATTGAGTTCAAATATTAATAGTGCTTTTATTTCTTGGACTTTGATCATGAGTTCAAATATTAATAGTGCTTTTATTTCTTGAACTTTGATCACGATATGTCGGCTTTTCTTCTGATGATGAGGGCGGTACAGGGTATCGATGGCGTGATGGATAAGCACGACACACGGAATACATAGCCACAAGTTCGACTCCCTTCCGATGCCTACCAACCATTCTTGAGAGGAAAAATTTGTCGAATACTGAAAATAATAAAGAATGCTTATTGTTATGAAGGAAAAACTTCAAAAACATGAAGAATTCCTAATACTTACCTGAAGTATTTAGGCACTTCCCTTGAAGGCACTATTTCCCTAGCACCGAAATTGCAAACGGATTCGGTGTTGTCAACGGAATGAAACTGTTGAAAGCTTGGGCAGGTGGATTGAACAGTGGTACGATCACCTGGCCTAAAACCATGAAATTGACCGAAAATGGCCTCTTGACTTCGCTTACATTATAAGTCTAGTTTGGAACGGTTTTAGCCGCTTGCGTTCTTTTTCAAAAACAGTCACAAATCAAATAACGTACAATTAGAACCATTATCGCCTAAACCCATTTTACGTGCGCTTATGCACGCTATCGCTTGCGCAAAGCCACTTCACCCGCACATTTGTAAGCTCGTCCGCCAGACACACGTGAACAGTTTGTTGTGTAATAGGACTAACTCCTTGAGACGGCCCAGAGCGGATGGTCAGCAGATAAAAGTGTTCCGGTAGGGCTAGCATATATGGCCCTACGCCTATGCAGTCAGCGGTGGAATATGCCTCTGGAGAAGACCAATGTTAAAAGCTATCCCCTACGTCGGTATGTGGAGGCATCGCTTTTGTATCTTCCCTATTCGTCTCTTTCCTGTTTCCCACGTAGCAGAAGAGAGCCAGGCACTAACGAGGTGGCGCCTTGTTCCAGCACCCTCGGTAAATGCTGTTTGAAAATATGGAAGAAGTAAATCACAAAAGCGATCTCCGTAATGAGGAACAATCGGAAAGGGAACGTAGGTAGCAACGGGAAGCCACTGTGAAGCGAACACCTGGACGTGGTCAAGTGAGAACCACCTCACACGAAGTCCTCGTACGCCTGAAGCAACGAGTGTCATGCTGTCACTCCTGCCGAACGAGATCATCGAGTTGTCGGGAGACACTCTCCAGGTTCCGCAAAGCTGCTTAGAGTGTGCACATATGGTTCACCTCTACCCTAGGCAACGCACGCTTCGAACAATCTGTTTACCATTTGTTCAGAGCTTACATGAAAAAGTCTGGATATCGTGTAGGTGGTCGTTCAGGTATTTGCTTGACATCCCGTGGCGGTCACCTTTGAAGCCCATGCTGATGCGCTGTCCACGTGATCTTCTCGAAACCCTGGCACATAGTCTCCGATCATCGAAGAATGTGCGGAGCCTTCCGATCGCCACTCACTGCTTGTCGCGGGAAACTCCAGGCATCGCTCTTGACCGTCATCCTGCTTTCGTAGAGTCCAACTCTCTGAGGCGTAAGCTAGGAGTACCACGCAATCAAAGAACATGGCACGGAAAACGGAGTATCTTCTTCTCCTCCGCTAATCCCTCAATGTTCTCCCTCCCTGAGCCGCTCGCTTTCTCCTGCTCAGCTGTAGAGCCAGTTCGTATCGTATTGATTCCCGCATCCTAGCGTGCACCATCAGCGTAGAGTATTCAAGAGAGTTCAGCGGTTCAACTCGTGAAAGAGATAGAAACGGGAACTTTACGTTTCTACGCCTTACCCTTATCAGCCTTAAGCGCGCGAACTGAGCGAAACGGCTGTGCATGACGACAGCCTACTTTCCTTTCTCCAGCACCCTTTCCTTAAAGGCACGGTCCGCCGATAAAAGCCTAAGTGATTTTGCAGAAATGTGGAAGAAAATTTGCCAAGTGAACCATCTATGAAGAGAAAATGCCAAAGGAACGTTGGAAACGCATTCGTCAGGCCTCCTCTGCCTTAAACAACTGCAGAGGCGAAAGACCGAAAAGACCCCGCGCTGGGACAATTCCCGCGGCTGATTCCCACTAATGAACCCTATGACAATACAAGAGACATTGAATGCATCCACTCCATGATACTTGCCCGGGAGCATTACTTTTGGCTGGAAGGCCGACTTTGGAGGCGGAGTCTGGAGGCGGAGTCACTGGAAAAGGGATGTACCACTGAAGCAACTTTGCGCCTTAATTCCTTTACCGTACAACTTTCCGCCGCGAAACTGGCACAGGGTTGTCCACTCCGGACCGCACTACCTTCCCACATAACCTCTTGCATTTTCATAGGTCATCGCGGACCGTTCCTTTAACATCATCACATATCGCCACGGCCTTTCCCTTGAAGGTTACAGCATCGCCTCCACAATCCAGGTGACGTCACACGATTTTCTGTGGCAACCCATAGCGTCATGAAGCAGATCACCACCTTACTATCGCTTTTACCACTAGAGTAAAATCTATTGAGCAGCTTCATCTTCCACCTGGAGCTCTGGAACGTTTTCTGAAAGAGCAATTAACCGTAGAGGATTGAAAAAAAAACGAACCACAAGCGCCAAGGATGATATCCGGGACTCCGATCGGAGCTGCTGTTGTGGCTGCTCCCTGGCCTGGATTAGTAAGGAAACAGCAGCAGAATTGAGGTTGAGGTGCCGCTGCTTTAATGGAATCGATTAGAGTTTTCAGTTAATCGATTATTGATGTCACTTACTGGTTTCCACTTTCTTTTCTGGAACTGGTACAAGGCACGGTATCGGCACTAGGTATGGCACTGGACAACAACAACAGTTCGGCTGAAGGCAGTTTGACTGAAAGTAGTTGCATTTCGTAAAAATAGGTGAATATTTACCACGAATCAATGTGACTACCAGACAGGGGCGGCTTAATATACTATCAGCAGATAAACTGACTGTTCCAACAATCTCAAAGAAGTAATCGGAAGATGTAGCGAAATTGGGTACTGTGTACTCGGAAGAGGGGTGGGTTGGACGGGTTTGGGAGGTATGTGCCAACTATCATT